GATAGCAACAACTAGGATGAGGACAATTTTTCGAAGGAAAAATGTGTAAATAATAATGGAAATTGTTTTTTTGACTGGACTTTAACGAGTCCCTACAAGATGTGGGCGATCATGGCTCTCCACAACATTCTTTCCCTTTTAGTGCTCAAATTTGTTGTGATAGCAACAACTAGGATGAGGACAATTTTTCGAAGGAAAATGTGTAAATAATAATGGAAATTGTTTTTCTGACTGGACTTAACGAGTCCCTACAAGATGTGGGTGATCATGGCTCTCCACAACATTCTTTCCCTTTTAGCGCCCAGATTTGTTGTGATAGCAACAACTAGGATGAGGACAATTTTTCGAAGGAAAATGTGTAAATAATAATGGAAATTGTTTTTTTGACTGGACTTTAACGAGTCCCTACAAGATGTGGGCGATCATGGCTCTCCACAACATTCTTTCTCTTTTAGTGCCCAGATTTGTTGTGATAGCAACAACTAGGATGAGGACAATTTTTCGAAGGAAAATGTGTAAATAATAATGGAAATTGTCTTTTTGACTGGACTTTAACGAGTCCCTACAAGATGTGGGTGATCATGGCTCTCCACAACATTCTTTCCCTTTTAGTGCCCAGATTTGTTGTGATAGCAACAACTAGGATGAGGACAATTTTTCGAAGGAAAAATGTGTAAATAATAATGGAAATTGTTTTTTTGACTGGACTTTAACGAGTCCTTACAAGATGTGGGCGATCATGGCTCTCCACAACATTCTTTCCCTTTTAGTGCCCAGATTTGTTGTGATAGCAACAACTGGGATGAGGACAATTTTTCGAAGGAAAATGTAAATAATAATGGAAATTGTCTTTTTGACTGGACTTTAACGAGTCCCTACAAGATGTGGGCGATCATGGCTCTCCACAACATTCTTTCCCTTTTAGTGCTCAGATTTGTTGTGATAGCAACAACTAGGATGAGGACAATTTTTCGAAGGAAAATGTGTAAATAATAATGGAAATTGTTTTTTTGACTGGACTTTAACGAGTCCCTACAAGATGTGGGCGATCATGGCTCTCCACAACATTCTTTCCCTTTTAGTGCCCAGATTTGTTGTGATAGCAACAACTAGGATGAGGACAATTTTTCGAAGGAAAATGTGTAAATAATAATGGAAATTGTTTTTTTGACTGGACTTAACGAGTCCCTACAAGATGTGGGTGATCATGGCTCTCCACAACATTCTTTCCCTTTTAGTGCTCAGATTTGTTGTGATAGCAACAACTAGGATGAGGACAATTTTTCGAAGGAAAATGTGTAAATAATAATGGAAATTGTTTTTCTGACTGGACTTAACGAGTCCCTACAAGATGTGGGTGATCATGGCTCTCCACAACATTCTTTCCCTTTTAGTGCCCAGATTTGTTGTGATAGCAACAACTAGGATGAGGACAATTTTTCGAAGGAAAATGTGTAAATAGTAATGGAAATTGTTTTGTCGCCAAACGAAATTGAAGGACCAACGATAATGTGCACATTGAACAACGACATTCAAAGAACTGTCAATAAAATTCTGTCAATCCTCTTAAATATGTTAACACTTGTGGAAGGCCGGAGACCCCAATGGTCGAAACGTTTTGATAACGATAACAGAAATTAGGACGATTCTTCGAATGTAAATAATTATGGAAACGGTTTTGTTGTCAATAGACATTAAAGGAAAATTCCATCATTCCCTGTAAATGCATCAAAAAACTTGGAAGAAGTGCAGACCTTTGGTGAGATTGCAGAGGACAGAGACGTTTGAATAAGGCAGATAAGAATTATTTACAAAATTGCGGAAGATGAGAAATCCCATTGATTTACAGCGAGCCTTCATATAGAAACGGCTCTAATGATGATGATGATGTTAATACGATGATAAGTTGGTGTTGACGATGCTGACGTTGATTTTGATGACGATGATGATGATGATGATGATGGTGAGGTTGATGATGATGATGATGATGATGATGATGATGATGATGATGATGATGATGATGATGATGGTAAGGTTAACAATGATGATGACGATGATTATGATCATTATGACGTAAAAAAACGGAAATGTGCCCTGGCATGCTTACAATGGCGAATATTTACCTGCGATACATTAATCCATGCCATTCGCATCTGTAGACACAATACAACGTAACTCCTAGGTGGATAAACTTTAACAAGTCAGGCGTGTGTCCCATCAACTCCTCTACATCAATAAAACGGTGAGACCTAATCTCCAATCTAGCAGCACGCAGAATTTTAGTTATTTGGTAGAGTTCTTTGTTTGTGATTCGGTATCGGCATTTTCAGAAGAGTACGTTTAAATCCATCCATAGGAAAATATTTGTAGAAAAGAGAGAAGGAAACTACGTCACGTCGATGAGAAAGTGACTGAAGTCTAGATGCCATATCAGCATCGACTACATTACAGACCCTTCTTTAGATTTTGTCCAGAATCTCGAGACAACATAGCCAGGGATCCAGACCAGATATGGTAGCATTATTCATTACACGGGTCAATGGTAGATTTATAAATGTACAAGATGGATTCGGACTAGAAAAATATTCTGGCACGACATAGTAAAGCAACTTTCCTCACTATAGACCTAGCAACTGATTCAATATCATCTCTCTATTTCATGTTAGTTTTGGGTTTCTCAACCTTTTTAAGCAATAACACGCATAGGAGAAAATGAAAATACCACAGCACGCTTAGAAAAATACTTAAAGAATATACATTTATATATTATGAAATAAAACCATAGATTTTCTTTTAAAGAATACACATACACACATATGAACTGGCTTTGTTTCAATGTTTCTATTCAACTATTTGTGCAGCTTCTTTAGTATGAAAACTGTGCCTGATGTTTTTTTCTAGTTTTTTTTTTTTTTTTTTTTCAAATTAATATTGATACAAAGTAGTTAAAATAAAATTATGAACGTACAGGGAAAATAGTTATTTGAAAAAAAAAGTTCAATACTTATTCATTTCTTCAAATACTAACACGGTAACATGGCTATTTCCACACACCCACACACACACACATATGTGCGTGTGTGTGTGTCCTATATATATATATATATATATATATATATATAGGTAACTATGCTCGTCTCAAAAAACCCTCGAATTTTTGATTTGCCAATAATCAAATCAATCTCGAAGGAAAAAAGGTTTTAAAAAAGAAAGAGCTAGAAACATGAAAGTCTGTCGAAAAAATCGCACAGATACAGGTTTAAAGCCCAAAGAAAAAACCCCGACACGAGTAAACAACTAACTAACAAAAGAGCTCAATACAACCATACAGCAGGCCTGGATTCGTCTGGCTCACTAGGTCTATCTATCTATCTATCTATCTATATATATATATATATATATATATATATATATATATATATATATATATATGGGTGGCCTGACGATTGCATCTAACCTGAAACAGCTTGTCGCCTCTAAGTGTTGACTTCAATGTTCCCTTTTATATATATATATATATATATATATATATATATATATATATATATATATATATATATGATAGCCGTGACAATATTTGGGGCACACTTAAGAGGATCGCACCACATAGTAGTGTATATCGGCACGGCGGTTGAGAATCACTGTGTTAGATGAACGCATGTTCTATTCCAATAGTTTTTTTTCTCGTACTTCTGGCCTGTGGAACTCCATTCCGATTTCTAGCGTCCCCCAATTTACTGTCTTCCCGTAACCTGTTATTTTATTGCGCTTTCTCCCCACATATCTCGTCAGTAAAATATTCTCTTCTTCTTGCGTCCTCGTGGCATTACCGCCTTGCTTGGGGGAGGAATGATTAAAAATGAGGGACACATAGCGATCATACCGATTAGGGAAGTTGTTGACTATCTTGTAGCGCATGTTGAGCAGTATGGTATTCAGGTGGCAGGCATTATTCTGCTGGAAATGAAAATTTCATTCTTGTCGCATGAATGTCCACAGACGGGAATGAGTTTTGTAATTTAAAGTATCTCACATAATGCCAGGAGTTGAAACTGTATGTCACAAAAGAATATACATTGTTACTTTGTCTGTCAATGTCACAAATCCAAACGACCACTAACATGAAGCAGTACCTGCTGTGATCAATTCGCACAAGAGAACCTTTTTCGATCACTCCCCAGTGACTCCATTTCATTACCACAGGAGTCGCGCATGACGGCATTATTGATTAACTGGAGTGTTTAGCGAGATACACGTGTGTCAACAGTCCTGTTACAAATGAACGAATGCAAACGGGTCATTCGTGTGTCACATTTGCTTTTATCGAAACATTAGACACGACGGGGTCTGTTACGTCAGCCCTGACAATGCGTTGATAGTAGCAAGCGTCTCTATTCTATAACCTTGCAGAACCTAGTCTAGGGTAGTTGGCTTATGTATTAGACAACTGCTGGCAACGATAAAGCCCAAACAAGGCGTCATAGCATCCACAGCAGTTCCCCAAAATATTTCTGCATACACTTGAAAGCTCATAATCAAGAAAACATTCAAATATGCGTATCCGTGATGGGGCTCTTTCACGATATTGAATATTACTACAGCACATGTCATCATCTAAAACTCAGACACAAACGATGCACTCAAATGAGTGTAATAACATCACAAGATGGCGGAAGAGTTTGATAATTTGTTTTAGAACATACATCAACAACTCGTACACACATAATCTTCTTAGGTCTAAATCAGCACTGACACTCGATGGAGGGGAGGTGGTATGATTGCAATTTTATTTTGCCGTCTGTGTATGTATTAATCTTTTCTGTTCAAATTGTGGCAGACACTCGCGTGCACCCACTGACTGGGCTTGGCGCATGCGTGTTTCATGCGCAAGTGTTAAATTTGACATTGGCGGCGAGTTCCCGCCGTAAACAAGAGACAGACATCCGATATCAATGCGAGGATGTCTATAAACATTTAAGCATTGCTTAAACACTCTCAGCATGACATTACAAAAGCTGAACGATGTTGTTGTTGTCTGGTGTTCTCGATCACAGCAGGCCAGCAAGAACGTGACTTTGGCATCAATGTATTCCACAGACAGACATATGGATAGAACGTTGTCTGGATATCTTCTTACGACTTTTTTTTGCAGGGGGGGGGAGCTATTTCTTTACTTCTTTCTTTTTTTCTTTCTTTCTTTCTTTCTTTCCTTTTCTTTCCTTGTTTCCCTTTTTCTTTCCTCCCGTGTTTTTCTCTCTTTATTTCGTTGTCTTTGATTCTTTGTTTCTTTCTTTTTTTTCTTTCTTTCTCTCTTTCCCCTCTTTATTTCTTTATCTCTTTCTTTTTCTAGTTTTCTTTCTCTCATTCTTTCTTTCCTTCTTTCTTTCTTCATTTCTTTCATTCTCTTTCCCCCTTTCTTTATTCATCTCTTTCTTTCTGTTATTTTCATCTTTCTTTCTCCCATTTTTTCTCCCCTTTCTTTCTTTCTTTCTTTCTTTCTTTCTTTCTTTCTTTCTTTCTTTCCTTTTACCTCCTTTTTTTCTTTCTTTCTTTTTTTTCTTTTTCTTTCTTTGTTTTTCTCTTTCTATCTTTCTAATAATGCATTCATCTGGCCAGATGTACCATATATATATTTTAATTATCTAAATGTTTTTGTATTGATGTATTTATTTATGTTAGTATCTGTTGAACAGTTTATTTCAGGTCATTCCTTAAAGAGCCATTTATTTTTAAATATAACCTGCTTATTTCACAAATCTATCTCCTAATATCTCTCATATTTATCAATAAGCGATGTCTGAAATATAGGTACTGATTCTATGGTAACGGATTTAAAATACGCAGATTGAAGTAGCTTGGTTCAGAGTAGCGGTGAACACGGTTGCGTATACACGCTAAGTTGTAACGTTCTCGGTCAAATCCGTTCTTTATAGAAGTGCGTGGAAGGAAAGAGTGTAGAGTGTGGTCGTCTCACCACACCATAAAGGTTCTATCAGTGACCATGTTTGTGCAGAACATTTATTTTATTTTTTGGCCAAACACAACTTTTTACAGGTCTGACAACCGCCATATTCCCAAGACCTTGCCAGATGCAATTGTTTCTTTTTCCAAAATTAAATCCCACTTGAAAGGAACAAGATTTTCTGACGTCGAGATAGCTGTTTGCTATCCTCAGAAAGGAGTTCCAGGAATGCTTCCATCAATGGAAATGGGGCTGGATAAAATGGGTGTGTTCAGAAAGGGACTACTTCAAAGGAGATTACCGTATTTGACGGCATATAGGACGCACTTTTTTTACTAAAAATATCTTTTAAAATTCTCCTGCGTCTTATATGCCATATGTAGCTTTAAAATTAGCGATAGTCGGTCGAAATTAGCTACCTGGCAACGCTTATTGGCTTAGAGATTTGAGTAACTTTCATATACCTATTGTCATTATTTAAAAGGCTATTCTGTAGATTAAAAGTGTCATCATTGATAATATTCATTATATTAATTTCATCACGTTTAATATTAGTATTTTGTTTCACTAAAATTATATTCAGTAAATTCAAATTATATATTTGTAAAATATATTTGCTTCATTAATATTTTCCTTGTAATAAGGTAAATACCGAAAATTATATGTTGTTGTCTTTTTTTATAGCCCAAGTCCCGATATTTTATGATCAGATATCGTATACATAGATTTGAGTGTATTCGTGAGTGCAAACATAGGAATCAACACTGTATGTTAACTATCAGTTTCAGCAGTATTCCTTCATATATATATATATATATATATATATATATATATATATATATATATATATATATATATATACTAGCAGCATGGCCCGGCTTTTACCTGTGCTTAATTCAAAAATCGAACAACGCATACAGCAATCGCTATCACTTGACTTAAAATATTTTTGCCCTTCCTTGCCTTTAAAGGAGTGCCCTTGCCGTGCTGATGTTGCTACATGTCTTACTTACTCACACTGCGAATTTTTTCTAAGCTCTATACTAAACATTAAATCTGTTACGAAAAAAGAACTAAACAAAATAAACACAAAACGATCACCTTTAAAAAAGGACGCGTAACTGGAAAAACCGAATGAAAAAAGAATGTTATAAAAACAAATACTTTTTCACACCCAATAAATGTAACGTCAATCGCCATCTTCTGCCATCCGGAATCCTATTACTTTATTGTCCTTTCTCATCGCTAAAGCCCTCTCATTTTCTAACAAATCCACTAATCCCTCGCCTATTAGTGGGTATTATCGCCTTGCTTTGGGAGAGGGGTAAAAGAATAAAAAATGGTAGAGACATTTAACTATGTTCGTTTTAACATGACGGAAAGTGGGACACAGAAACCTGAAGGTGCATCCGAAGACCGTAAGATAATGTCCAAAAAGCAGACATTGAACGTATATAATTTATTTGTACTATGGATCTCATCTTTTGTACTATCATCATATCATCATCATCATCATCATGATCATCATCAGTCCCTCAAATGCTTGCGGAGGTGGGGGTGACCTAAGTGCCAAAAAAACCGACAACCTCCTCCAGGATAATCTGTTGGCGGTGACTCCAGCATTATCCTATCCGTCCACTCTTTGATATTGTCAGGCCAGCTCTTGCGTTGCCGTCCCCGCTTGCGTCCGCCTTCAACGGTGCCATACATGATGGTCTTGCAGAGGCTTTTTTGCCGTGTGAAGTGGCCAAACTCTGTGTTGTAGAGTATTTTTCACAGTGGAGGCTTGTATTTCACTAAGTCGGTCCTAAATTAGGTTCGACGTACAAAAAGTTAGGAACTTGAAATAATAGTTAATGACGCAGCAAATCTAGTTGTGGTGGTTCATACCTTAATGTCCGACATCGACTGACACACCAACTGCACTGAGCCCTACTGGCGACCGCTACTACTACTACTACTTATTATGTGTGGAAGAGTCTATTACAATAGATGTAATGTTCCGGTATAACACTGGACGTCATCCTTAATAACAGCGAGCAGATATTCCCGTCGGCCTACGAGACTTTTGACCTTGCTCCGTCATTGGTTGCGTGCCTCTAGTAAGAGATGCCGTCAACCTTTCTCAAGCATTTTTTCTCGTACGCCTGTATTCTTTTTCCTGTCCGTCGTGGGTATGATGTTAAACTACATACGCATCCTGGGTAAGACGATAAACTACGTCTAACAGCAAGGCCTCTGATCAGAATGTTTAGAGGAACGTGGACCCACGTCTTAATTGCTTGGGTTCCCAGGGTGGTAGCAGCTGTTAGGGTCCTAGCTATGTGCAAATAGATAACCCCCAAGCTGTGATAAAGACACTGTGAAAGTGTAAAGATAATACCAGAAATTCTTTGTAAAAAATTATTACCAGCAATAAATTTTTGAAGAAAACAAATATTACCAGCAGTTTATTTTTTTGAAAAAAAATATATTACCAGCTATACTTTTTTGAAAATAAAAAAAATTATTATCAGCTATACTTTTAAAAAATATTACACGCTATAAATTTTTGAAAAAAAAAATATTACCAGAATAGATTTTTAAAGGAAAAAAAATTATTACCAGCAGGGCATTTTTGAAAAAAATAATACCAGCAATAAAAAAAAAATTGTCGGCATTAAATAAACCATTTAGGTTGATATGCCGTAAAACAAACCCAATCAAACCAAATTTTTCCTGCTTCGACCAGGAGTATCCAAAACTCATACCCGTAGAGAAGGGTGGATAAGACCAGCGTTTTGTAAAGCTTGAACACGATTCGGAAGCTGATGTCACTCATTCATATCCTTTCCAGTCTGGTCATCGTTGTTGTAGAAATCCACACACGGATCGCCACAGCTTACTATAGATGTTATTAAAAATACAACGTTTCGACCAAGTACCAACTGGCCATCATCAGGTATCCAATGCTTTATCTTATATGGAATATCTATTGATTACTGGGCTATTTTGTCACCGTGATGCCGGTTCTTATCCGTTCCTTTTTCTTCTGTGTCGTATCATTTCTGCACAAATTTCTATCCCATGTAGTTCTTGTAATGTTCTTTTTTTTTCTATAGAACCAGTATATATTTTTTTCTCTGTCTAATTCAGGGATTGAAACCGGGAAACACTAGATTACAGTAATATATGCTAACCAACTTCTATATCCACTACGACATCGTCCTGAAGGGCGCCTGATAATTATTTTGTTCTTTTTATGCGTTTAAATTGAATGTGTCGATGTTTGTATATCATGGTTTCGTTTCATAGAGCTTTTGATAATTTTGTATTTTGTGTTTATTGTTTATTGGTTTGGTCTATTTTGTTTTACGGTATATCAACCTCAATGGCTTATTTAATGCCGACAACATTTTTAGGATAGATTCGTATGAATAGAATATGTATTCTTTGGTTTAGATTGGTTTGGTTTATTTTGTTTTACGGCATATCAACTTCAGTGGATTATTTAATGCCGAAAGATTTTTATTGTTGGTAATATTTTGTTTGTCAATTTGTTTATTTCTGGTAATATTTTTCCTTCAAATATGTATTGCTAATATTTTTTTTTCAAAAAAGTATTCCTGGTTATATTTTTCCTCAAAAAAAATGTATACCTGATATTTTTCTTCAAAAACTTATTGTTAGTAATATTTTTTCCTTCGAAAAATTATTGCTGGTGATAATTTTTTTTACAAAGTATTTCTGATATTAAAACCTATTTTTACACTTTCATAGTGTTTTTACCCAGTTTCGGGGTTAACTATTTGCCCATAGCTGGGACCCTAACAGGTGCTATCACCCGGGTCTGAGTGGACCTGGGAACACCAGCAATTAAGAGGTAATTCTACGCTCCTGATTAGAGGCCTTGCTGCTGGAAGTAGTTTATCGTCTTACCCAGGACGCGGATGTAGTTTATCGTCATATCCAGGACGGTATTTTGTGTTTATAGTAACATCTATAATTTATAATAAAGATGAAAACAATAGTGCGAAAAACTTAAGGTGTAAAATAAAAGCAGGAAGTTGTAGAGAGCTATAATCAGCCACGTCCTGAAAGGACATTACATATGAAAGAAAAATAATTCCTTCGCCAGGTCGAAAGCAACCCACTGGAATCACATCGGGCGGTCTGTTTCCACTTCTCGCCGCACGTGGGCCGCACGCTGCAATTTCTACCCGGGCGATTAACATAATGACAACACTTGCGCAATTCAATTCCCATGTGGTTAACATTCCGTCTATTTATTCATATCAAAATAGACGCAAGTTTAATTCCAGCAGGAGACCAAAACACACAGAGTAAACGGTGTTGAGAGAATTGTCTGCGCCAGACAAGCATGTGAGTAGAACGTGGCTGCCTCGGAAAATCAGCATCCAAAAATCAGGCTATTTATTTATTTAATATTTTTTGATCCCCAAATTTCGGGGAGAATATGCAGATATCTAAATCACGAGAAAAATGGAAATGTTTTTTACTGGCACAATTCTGAGACAAGGCTTCGCTAACGGAGCACTCTATAATGACTGATTTCAGTGCACTTGCGAACAGAGCCTGTATACCATTTTCTAACACATAGTTATTGTTGTGGGGCTCTCCCCTTTTTACATAAG